ATACCGTTTATATTTCTTAAAAATTTAGGCCCTCAATCTAAAGAACATCTACTCAAAATCTGCAATATAATCCTATCCAGAAACGTGTTTCCTATATCATGGAAAAATTCATTCATAATACCTATTCTAAAACCAACTAAACCAAAATCAGATCCATAAAACATATAGGCCGATATCACTCACATGTAGCATAGGTAATATATTAGAAAAGATAATAAACGATAGGCTTATGTGGTATTTAGAATAAAAAAACTCACTTATTCCAGAACAATGTGATTTCCGAAAACATCGCTCAACTTTAGACAACCTTGTTGACTTGAATCGGAAATCCACGAAGCATTTGCAATAAAAACAGCACTGTGTTGGAATATTTTTTGATATAAGCAAAGCATATTGTAGCGAGATTAAATAAAACGAGCGGTTCGAATTTATATAAATATATTTATTTATAACTTTACAGTTCGGTACTATCTTATCAACTCAAAACTTACTCCTAAGATCGTTACATATATATACCTAAGTGACTATGTTCTAGAAAGTTCCCACCTCTAATTCGTGCACGTGACTGATTGTTCTCTTGCCTTCGAGGGATCTATCCATCGATGGTTTTCGATGCCTGAGATGCTTCGAGATGCAACCGTTAGGCGGGCCACGCTGAATGCATGTTCGTAACAATATGATACAGTTTGAAAATATTCAATCAATAAAACACTCAGCAACTGGTTAATAAGGGATAACATATTAAAATACATTTCAAATTTTCTTAAAAACAGACAATTTCAAGTTCGAGTTGACGGAACATATTTTCAAACAAAAATTCAACAAAATGGTATACCACAAGGATCAAACTTAAGCACAACTTTGTCCTTTGCCAACTTTGGCATTAAAGTCTCCCATTATTAGTATTATTTCGTTTTTCCGAATCATTTTGACAATATTAGTAAGGTCATTGTAAAATTCTTCTATAATCTCTTCTGAGGCGTCCGCTGTAGGAGCGTATACTTGAATAATGTTTGTTTTTATGGGAGTTGTGTTTAGCTGAACACAACTCCCACTAGCTGAATTGGCGATTATATTATTCATAATTAGGTCCACTCCATTTATATGTTCGTTCTTAAGATTTCTGAGTAGAATATTTTGTGATCTTTGATAACTCGGTATCCCGTATCTGTCCAGCGCTTTTCGCTTATTCCCATAATACTAATCGAGAGTCTTTCCATTTCTTGAATGGCATTATAGATTTTTCCCGTCTCGTACATTGCTCTAACGTTCCATGTACCTATATTTATGGCTGTTCCCAATACTCTTAGGGATCCATCATCTAGAATGTAGTCTGGTTCGTGAGGATTTTTCTTGATAACGACCTGGAAGGCCTCATGGTTTAAGTTAGATTTACCTTCCCTGCCGGATCTTGAATTCCGATTTTCATGATCAGTAGTCGAATCTTAAAGTTTTTTATCACCATGATAATTGTACTAGAGATACTTACAAGAAGTCTTTAATGCAGTGTTTTCTCCTTGCCTTCTGCATCCTTATGCCGTTCACTAAAAGTCTTAGTTCCTCCGCCTTCGAAGCCGATTTCCCAAACTCCAGGACAAAAGAGTGCCCTAAAATCGCAGTATCACAGCCGCTTAACTCATAATGTGAGTGTCGCCTGTGAGTATCTGGCATTAAGAATACATAATTTTTACTTCCCACAGCCTTAATTCAGTAATGACATTACTGCTGCCTAATATCATATCCTCAGTTGATTCGCGGGTACTTATTTGGCAATGCCTTATTCGTACATGTCCTGCATATCTGCATGAACTTTCCCTATCAGCCATATGGGACGCACTTTGGAGTTGTACGTACTTGGAGACTACTCCAGACATTGCCCATCATATCGTTGTGCTGCTTTCAACAATTGACTAATTAGTGCTCACAATAATTCATTTTGTCCGTACAGCATGGACTATCTGTATTAATTTCTATATTTCTTCTTCTTCAAATGCCATCTTTGTTCCGAAGGTTGGCGATCATCAGGGCTATATGTATTTTCGAAACTGCTGACCGAAACAATTCGTTGTTGCTACAGCTATACCATTCCCGTAGATTCTTTAGCCAGGAGTTTCGTCTTCTTCCTATGGACCTTTTTCCTGCTATTTTCCCTTGCATAATTATTCGAAGCAGTTCATATCTTTCGCCTCTTGTAATGTGTCCCAAGTATTGCAGTTTTCGTTTTTTGATCGTAAATATGACTTCCTTTTCTTTATTCATTCTTCTCCAGACCTCGACATTTGTGACTCTCTCGGTCCATGATATTCTCAGGATTCTGCGATACATCCACAGTTCAAATGCCTCTAATTTTTTTATATCAATCTTTTTCAACGTCCATGACTCCATTCGTAGAACAGCACAGAAAGTACGTAATATCTCATCAGGCGCAATTTCATTTCAAATCTCAATATCTTCGGCTCAAATATCTTCCGCAGAACATTCTCTTCATTTTAGTGAATATGGATCTGGCTTTTTCTATTCTTATTTTGATTTCTGCTGAGCTATCATTGTCTTCATTTATAAAAGTGCCTAAATATTTGTATTTGCTAACTCGATCGATAATTTCATTGTGTAAATATAAATTTTGCACATTTTGTGTTGATTTCGATATTACCATAAATTTAGTTTTCTTTATGTTCAAAGATAGTCCATATTCTTCGCTGCAGTCTGCTATCTTGTTCACCAATGTCTGTAGCTCTTTAAGTGTTTCTGCGATCACAACGGTGTCATCGGCAATTCTCAGATTGTTTAATCTAACACCATTTATTTTAATACCTACGGATTGCTCAGACAGTGTTCTATTCATTACGTCTTCGGAATACAGATTAAACAGGGTTGGTGACAGTATACACCCTTGTCTCACACCTCGCTTTATTTCAATTTCTTCAGTGGTATTATTCTCTACTCTCACCACTGCTTTCTGATTGTAGTACATATTTGCTATTAGTCGAATGTCTCATTTATCTAAATTCTTTTCTGTCAGGAGTCTGATTAGGTGATCATGCCGCACTTTATCAAAGGCCTTGTTGTAATCTATGAAACACATGAATAAATCTTGATTTATGTCAAGACATCTTTGAGACATAACGTTCAGTGCAAACAACGCCTCTCTTATTCCGAGTCCATTTCGGAATCCAAACTGGGTATTATTGATGTCCATTTCCAGTTTTCTGTGTACTCTAGAGTGTATAATTTTCAGGAATATTGTACTGACTGATTGTACGGTAATCACCACATTGTTTGGCATTAATCTTTTTTGGTATAATAACAAAGGTGGATAAAAGCCATTCTTGTGGTATTTTTCCTGATGTATAAATGCTATTGAAAAGTTCAAGTAAAATGTGAATCGAGTCTTTTTCTATTAGTTTAAGGATTTCCGTTGGTATTTCATCTGGACCTGGAGCTTTACCATTTTTCACTCTTTTTAGTGTGTTCATTACTTCCTCTTCCGGTATTTCTGGACCTTCGTCTCCTTGTATGTTACTTAGCTTAGATTGTTGTCTATCATCTGCAAAGAGTTCTTCAATATAGTTTTTCCATGTCTTCAACTGTTCTTCTAGTTCTGTTATTATGTTTCCGTTGACAGTATACAGGGTATTTGACTGCTTACGTTTTTGTGTACCTGGAAGTTCTTTCACTTTTTTATGTACATTAAAAATATCATGTTTTGCCTGCAATTGCTCTATTTCTTCACATTTTCTTTTATAAAAATCTTCTTTTGCTATTCTGATTTCTATTTTGATTTCTTGCTGGATTTGTTTACACATTTGTTCGTTTTTTCCTTTCATTATTCTCCGATTGTCCATGAGAAGAAGGATCTTATCAGTCATCCACCTTTTCTTTATTTTTGGTTTTTGTTTAGTCAGAATTTTCTTCGCAGGACCTGTTATCGCCACTTTTACGTTTTGCCATTTTTTATCTATGTTGTTCGTTGGCTGAGATGTTTCTTTTTCATGAAGTATTTTCAAATTATTATTAATACATTTTTGCAGTTTCTCCTTTACCTCCAGGTTCCATAAATGACTAACTTCTATCTGATGAAATCGTAGGCTTCCACGGCCAGAGTCAGAATATAGTTTATTCGTCTTCCGGGTTTGGACCGTGTCATTTGTGAGTGACCCAAAAGTGGGTTCATCTCGACGTTTCGCTACAATTGTATGTAGCTTCTTCAGGAGAACAAAAAAGGGAAAAAAGAAAGAAAGAAGAAAACAAAGAACAGGAAGATGGGTAGTTAGCAACGGTAACTCAGTTACTCAACGCAACCAGAGGCGAATACTAACTACCAAGATGGGCATTTGGTCACAGTAACTCAACTACTCAACGCAGCCAGAGGTGAAAACCAAATGCCAGGACAGGGATTCACGTCCAACAGAGTTACCGTTGCTAACTACCCATCTTCCTGTTCTTTGTTTTCTTCTTTCTTTCCTTTTTCCCTTTTTTGTTCTCCTGAAGAAGCTACATACAATTGTAGCGAAACGTCGAGATGAACCCACTTTTGGGTCACTCACAAATGACACGGTCCAAACCCGGAAGACGAATAAACTATAACTTCTATCTGATTTGTTCTTCTTTTCTGCTCCAATCTTTTTAGTTTAATACTCATTTGCGGTATTAGAGGGTTATGGTCTGAAAAGACATCTGCGCCTGGGTAAGCTTTAACGGATTTTAAGGAGTTTCTTTATCGTTCGCTTATCAGTAAAAAATCAATCTGGTTTCAAATTATTCTTTCGTCATTGTCCTGGGGTGATTTCCACGTATAAAGTCTTCTCTTTGGTAAGTTGAAGAATGTATTAGATATAATCATGTTATTCTCCTGGCAGAATTGAAGTAGTCTGTCACCTCGTTCATTTCTTTTACCGAGTCCGTATTCTCCTACAATTTTGCCACTTTTTCCTTTACCAATTTTTGAGTTAAAATCACCTAGAAATCTATATTTCTACAAGTAATTTTTTATTTTATAGGAGAAGTATGTTAAGTCGTACGACGAAGAAGAAGATGCGAAAAGGTTTGCTATATTTAAGGAAAAATACAACGAAATCCTAGAGCACAACAAAAAGTACAAGGCTGGGGAAGTGTCATGGAAAATTGGATTGAACAAATTTACAGACTGGACACCTGAAGAACTTAAAGATTGGGGTGATCTCTTAATCCCTGACGACCAAGATATGTAAAAATAACTTATTACTGAAAGTTTGATAAGTATTAAGTAAAGTAATTATTTATAACAATTGTAGTTTTCTTAAAACTTTTATTAAGGATAATAAAAATAAAAAGTATGACAGTAAATCTTCTTGTAGGGTGATCATTCCTCTTTTTACTATCCATTTTTTAAACTATTGGTAAATCTTTTCATTGGATTTATGTTCCTTTGCAACACGATGTTTCTGAATTATTTTACTCACTGTAATTTCAGGCTAATCGATGAAAAGCACTGTAGATTTTCAATAGTAATACCACTAGTGATTCAATTTTCGCGATAAGTCTGTCGATTTACTTCTAAACGAAACTGAGTTGTTTGAAAACACCACGAGTCCGTAGGACGAGTGGTGTTTTTCTTTAAGAAACTCAGTGGAGTTTAGAAATAAAAGACAGATTTATAAGCTAAATTAAATCACGAGTGGTATTTTATTAGAATATTTCATTCATCTTAAAATTTTCACATTATCTGACCAATCACAAACCAAAGACAGCTTGTGTAATCGCGAAAACATCAACTGTCTTTCAATTCTGATTGGTCTATCATGGTCTATATTCAATTCTGATTGGTGGTACTCTGTGATATATTGGGACAGATTTACGAGAAGTGCAGAGAAGTTCGGGATTAGGGGTTAAGAAACTTCTAGGGGTAAATGGGTCCTGTAATTAGCAGATGTTATGTAAAGTTATACGAAGTGGGGACTTATGTGAAGTTATGGAAAACGCTGTCACCAAATGTAATACTTTATAGATTCTCAAAGGATGCTAACTCTGCGAGCGGCTGCAAGGAATACTGGTCATACTAGTCTGGAGGGCTGGCTCGTCTTCGTGGATTTACGAGAAGATAAGGGATTTTCGGGATAGGGGTAAGGACTCCTAGGTCTCAGGTCCTGTAAAGAGCAGAGGTTATGGGCTTACTTTTGAAGCCGGAGATATGCATAAGCAGAATCTTGTATTCTCCTAGTCTCTAATGAGTCGGACGAAAGGAACATTAAAAAAAAACAATTTAGAGTCTACAATATATTGAATTTACCCTGAAGTTACAAATACAATCGTTAACACGTTATTGTGCGCGTCGGGAGACGAGAAGCAAGATAGTGAAGAGTTGACAGTTGTACTAATATAATTACTCAGGTTAGTATATAGAAATCTGTTACCTTATGTGTATTTAGGCTTTCAACCACGACACGTTTCGGTCCTCTGGAACTCGGTCAGTTGAGGGTCTCCTCCTGTGTTACGGACTTACGAGCTGCCACAATAACCGGACTACACGAGATACTATGCCGGGATGATAAGCGCTCCCCGGAGAATTACCGACTGCGTCGTACCCGACGCTACCGCGTCGAGAGTACCCGGAGCAGGCAATTGATGCCTTCACGGCTCCCGCCGTATCACTCCTACTGACTCGCTATTACTGACTACTGACTTGGCTGACCAAGTTTTCTAGTTTTTATCAACTGGTGTCCTCATTGACCGGTTGTAGTCCAAGGTTGCGTTTTCGCTGAATTGTGGGTCCTATATTGCATTACAATAACAGTTTCTGTTTGACGTGCTTTTTCTACGTTTAAACAATTATCAAACAATGCAATAACTAGGTCAATTTGTTATACTTTGTATAATTTAAATGTATAAGTTAACTGTATTAATTATCCCTTATTTAATTTGGAATATATAATAATTATCTCGAATAATTATTATCTTTTCTATGCTACTTAGCCCTTTATTCCAACTCCCCACTCACTTGCTATGTTTACATTACAACTCCACACGAAGTTATAAACCAAAACATTGAAGAAAATATACCGAATAACACAAGAAAATCTAAATCTTATATATGGAGACAATTTATGATGTTCTGTGTGGATCGCAACTACAAATTAGATGCAGAAAATAACAACGAAAGACTAGCATTCATTCTAAAAGACTGGGCCTTCAACATGCGAAAAATTGATGGTAGTGATTACAAGGGAGAGTGTTATTAAATCCATATGGAACACTACTGCAAAATTGGTGCAAGAAAAATATTTCTGTGAGTATCAGACATATTGATCCCTTCAAAGATATAACCTTCAAGGAAGCGAGAGCGGCTCGTAATAGTAAGAGAAAATTGTTGCAAACTGTACCCGATAAAAGGAAAATGAGTTCTGTTGCTATGACTTCGGATGAATATAAAAATATGTGCTTACAATGGGACGAAGACATGCCAGAGGGACTCCAAAACAAGTTTTTTCATATAGCTGCCGTAGAATTAGCTTGGAGAGGTAACGAAGCAAGTTTTTCCATGTTACATTTTTTCAAGGAAGAGACTAACAACAAAGGCTGTTTAACAAACAGAATTGCATATAACCCGATATTCTCCAAAACCCGCCAAGGTGGTGATAAAAACTGTGCAGATAATAAATGGCTTACTCAAAATTTGAAGAATCCTGAAATGTGTCCTGTGAGATTATACCGGAAATTTATATCGAAAAGGGAAACTATTACCAATGATAGACTTTTTCTGACTGTGAATGGCAAGTGAAATAAATATAATAATAGTAATTGGTACAAGAATTGTCCTATTGGTATGAATACAATATCCAAATGGACAAAAATGTCTGCAGAAAAGATAGGATTAGACTTAGAGGATTAGATTAAATCGTGCCACTGCAGTTAGTCAGTTAGTACAATCTGGCGTTAGTGAACAACAAGCTATGAAAATGACTGGACATGGAAGTTCGAACTCGAGGAAACTGTATTTACATCTTAGTGCCGAACATCATCAGAACATAGTGAATACTTTTAGGAATACTCCAAGTACATCAAGTAATAATAGCAACAATATATTGTATCCACCTAATAACGGTCATACTATTCAAAATTTTTACAATGGACCACAGGAGTGATGACGTAGATTTTACTGACATACGTCAGTTTCACTTTCCAAACAAACCTGGTTTAGTGTGGATAATTTGTATGTGATCATAGATGCTAGACACTTCTCAAACCTAATGGATGTCCGCACCTATCGAGGCGCCAATATTGATTCAGATCACTTTCTAGTTGGCACACGAATTCGAGCTAGAATCTCAAATGCGAAGAAGGAGAGAAGTACCAAAACAACGCGTCTCAATATTGAAATCCTCAAAAATCAGCAAACAGTAGAAAGGTTTCAAAACTATATCGAAACTAAACACATAATTCATGAGGACCTAACAATTAGTGAACAATGGGAAATGTGTAAAAATAATATTAAAGAGGCAGCAAATAATATTCTAGGGCCAGAAAGACCACCACCACGTAATGACTGGTTTGATGCTGAGTGTGAGGACATTACAAGAAGAAAGAACGATGCATATAAACTGATGCAGCAAAGAAGAACCCGAGAAAAACAGCAAAAATATAAAGATCTCAGAAAAGAAGAGAAGTGCATTCATAGAAGGAAAAAGCGAAATTACGAAAATAGAATATTGGAAGAACTTGAGGTATTAAATAAGGAAAACCAAACAAGAAAATTCTACAAAACTCTAAATAACGCAAGAAAGGAATTCAAACCAAGGCTCAGACTATGTAAGGATAAGGAGGGGCATATACTAAATACAAAAGAAGAAGTACTGAAAAGGTGGGTGGAACACTTTAAAGAACTACTTACTATAGAAGTAGAAGATCCAGATCCAAATCAACCACCCGGAGGAGCAAGCAACAATTCACCATTAGAACCTCCGTCAATTCAAGAAGTACGAGATGCAATAAAACACCTAAAAAACAATAAATCTCCAGGAAGTGATGGTATACCCGCGGAACTTATCAAATGTGGAGGTGCTTCTGTGACTAATCAAATATATAAAATAATACTGAGAGCCTGGAATGAGGAACAAATCCCGGAAGAGTGGTGTATTGGAATCGTTTGCCCGCTACACAAAAAGGGTGACCAATTGGAATGTAGAAACTATAGGGGAATAACCCTCCTTAATACAGCATACAAAATATTTTCGAGGATCATATATGGTCGCCTAAGTACATATTCAGAGGAACTTCTCGGGTAATATCAAAGTGGCTTTAGGCCTGGTCGATCAACAACAGATCAGATCTTTGTGCTAAGGCAAATACTGGAAAAAACCAATGAATTCAATATCGATACATACCATCTTTTTTTAGACTTCAAATCTGCCTATGATAGTGTCCTAAGAAATAAATTGTATGAAGCAATGAATGAATTCCACATTTCCGATAAACTGATAAGATTGGTTAAGGCTACAATGCGTAATGTGGTTTGCAAAGTCGAAATACAGGGCGAACAATCACAGGCGTTTGGAACGCATGTTGGGCTGCGACAGGGAGACGCGCTGGCGTGTCTCCTTTTCAACATAGCACTGGAAAAGGCAATCAGAGATGCCCGAATAGACAACAGAGGAAATATTTTTAATAAATCATCCCAAATCTTGGCATATGCAGATGATGTGGACCTGGTTGCCCGCACAACACGCAAGCTAGAAGAAATGTATACCACCTTCTCAAATGCCTCAAAATCTATTGGCCTGCAAGTAAATGAGGAGAAAAATAAGATGATGGCATCAACACCCAACAATAGAGCCAGGAAACATCGGTCACCAATTCACGGTTGATAACTCTACCTTTGAAGTGGTTGACAAATTCACATACTTAGGCTCCCTGATCACCAAAGAGAACGCCATAACGGAAGAAATCAAGCGAAGGATAGTAATGGCAAATAGATGCTATTTTGGACTGAGTAGACATATGAGAAGTAGAAACTTAAGCCAAAAAACAAAAATAACTATATACAAAACCCTTATACAGGCGAGGCTCTTTCATAGGGCTGTAGCACCATTGATGATGATGATGATAACGGTCATACTATTCAAAATTTTTACAATGGAGCACAGGAGTGATGACGTAGATTTTACTGACATACGTCAGTTTCACTTTCCAAACAACCTGGTTTAGTGTGGATAATTTGTATTTTTCGTTATTTTTTCATTTATTTTATAGAATCTTTCCGCTTATTGCAATATTTAAGTATTCTAGTA